ACATTACGAGTGTGGAAAGTGACATTTTTCACACGAGTGGGAAATATAGTCGCACGAGGCGCAAGCCGAGTGCGACTATCACACGAGTGTGGAAAATCACTTTTCACACAAGTGATGTACAATATTTTTCCTACGACCACAAAATAATGTCATCAAAAAAATGTAAAACCAAGGTTATTATTACTATAATAATTAAAATGTATTTAAAAAAATAATCAACAATAATCGTATTTATTCAATTTTCATATTTTCTAAACAAAAAAAACTAAAAAAAATAAAAAAAAAATTAAAAAAAATAAAAAAAAACAAAAAAAAAATTCTGCCCCGACAGGATTTGAACCATAGATTGAACGCGGTCGAAAAATGGCAAAATTGATAAGTTCGACGTCCTAACCAGCTGAGCTAACAGCCCTTGTGTCAATTGAATGATCTAATCGGTTATGTATTTAACCAAAATAAAGAGCAAACATTATTTTAAAATTATTTTAATAATAATTGTTAAAGATAAATATCTAGGATCTAATTTACAACAATTTCAATAATTTAACAATCATATCGATTTTAGTATTAATATGGATATTACATAGATCAAAATAGAAATTAGCTTACAAAATAATATCAAAAAAATGTAAAACCAAGGTTATTATTACTATATTAATTAAAATGTATTTAAAAAAATAATCAACAATAATCGTATTTATTCAATTTTCATATTTTCTAAACAAAAAAAACTAATAAAAAATAAAAAAAAAAACAAAAAAAAAATTCGGCTCCGCCAGGATTTGAACCATAGATTGAACGCGGTCAAAAAATGGCAAAGTTGATAAGTTCGACGTCTAAACCAACTGAGCTAATGGGCCTTACGTCAATTGAATGATCTAATCGGTTATGTATTTACCCAAATTAAAGAGCAAACATAATCTTAGTTATTTTAAAATTATTTTAATAATAATTGTTAAAGATAAATATCTAGGATCTAATTTAAAACAATTTCAATAATTTAACAATCATATCGATTTTAGTATTAATATGGACATTACATAGATCAAAATAGAAATTAGGCGTTTGACATTTTTTGACAACTACTGCGGAAAGTAACATATTCTCACTTGGGTGGAAAGTAAATTCTTAGTCATACGCGTGTGATATAGGACACTTTCCATAGGACTATATAGTGTGATATGTGTCACTTTCCTAAGTGGTCGTAGGAAAAAGTACATTCTTCTATGATGGAACAGATTCCTCGACAGATTCCCAAGAAGTAACTTCAGTCATTAGTTCTTTAAAAAATACTAATGCAATGGGTGTAGATTGCATTACAACTAAAATTATTAAATCTATTAGAACTTAAAACGGGTATAGCATCACCTATTTTTAAAAAAGTTGATTCAACGGCTCTTGAAAATTATAGACCTATCACAGTGCCTACTACTGTTCTCTGTAAAATTTTTGAAAAATGTACCTATATATAAAAAATGTTATCATTTTTATTTAAATTTAAAATTATTACAGATCAACAACATGGGTTTCTTCCTGATAGGTCAACAGGAAGTGCTACTACTGCCTTTTTTAATTATGCCCACAATCAGCTGGATAGAAAAAGGTTAGTGGGTGGGCTCTTTTTTGATCTATCCAAAGCTTTTTGACACCATTGATATCGCAATTATCATTGGAAAATTAAGTACTTTAGGTTTTATAAGGTAATATTTAATTCCTTGTTATTTAAAGAGGTGTAAACAAAATCGCATAACTCCCCGATAGCACTAGATGTTGACTTATTTCTGCGAAAACCATGTTGAAATTTACTCAAAAGTCTATTATGTTCTAGAAATTTAATGAACCTGTTATTATAGGCCATTTCGAATACTTTAGCCAGTTGACTTTGAATGCAGATGTTCCTATAGTTTGCCATGTCATTAGCAAACCCTTTATTTTTATATATAGGAATGGATTTTGATTTTTTTAAATATAGCCACCACATAAAAAAGACTCGTTTATAAGGTAGGACATAGGTACACTTATATCTTCAGCAATAAAATACAATATTGTTCCATCTATTTCATCTATACCGGCAGATTTTTTACAAGTTGTTTTCAGTATAATTTCTGTTACTTCCTTTGGGGTAGTTGGAATTAAAAATAGAGTGCTTATAGAAAAATCTTGTAGCCTTGCTTCACTATAATTTGGTAGAAGATAGTCTACATCAGTAAACTGATTATTAAAAGCATTACATATATTTTGTACACAAGAAATTTTGTTGCCTTGACAATTTAGCATCTCGATGAGTCATTTTTTTACTAATTTTGCTTTTGCCTCATTTACAATTCTCCAACATTCTTTTGTTGAATTTTTTTGCAGTAATTACCCTTTTATTATTATAGGAAAGTTTTGCTAATTTGACTTTATTATCATAAATTATTTCCATCAAGTTTATTAATAAAAAAAGAATACAATTTGGTATATTTAGATCCATAGCTTAAGACTATGTGTGTCTTACAAGGTACAAATTTTATATCATCATATCACAGAAGAAGAATTCGGTACCTGCTTAGTTATAATAATAACAATACTTACTACTACAAAATAACTAATAATAATTAAAAAAAAAAATACAGTAATTTAAATATGAAGATATCAACTAAGAAAATTCTATTAAGTGAGCTTTTAGTTTTTTTAAAGAGACTCATGTTCTTTATGGTGCTAGGAAGTTCATTGTATTGTCTTAGACCATCATATAGTATGCTTCTGTCACCCAAGCATGTTCCTACAGCTGTGGTTCTGAAGGCTTTAAGTTTTGTAGTTATGTATATACTATGTAATTCACACAGCATCTCATGCAGTGCACTTAGTTCCATGTTATAAAAATTATTTATTTGTCGATTGGGTTTAACTTTTTAAATGTAAAAACGAGTGTAAAAAGCGTTGTTGAAATGGTACAAAACAGTTGAATAAAAGCTGTTAAATTTGTTATTGAACTCAGAGGAGTTATACATGTCTTCTCATGACTCATTATTAATTATATTTTTAAAGATAAGCTTGTTACTGTCACTTAAATCCCTAACAAAAGAATGGATAGTTTCTACCTGATTTGTTATTTGCAAGTTGAATTCACAGAGTTGTAGTGAATGGTCTGATAGGAAACTATTTTGAACAATAACATTTTTATATTCAATATTTGTAAAAAGACGATCAACTAAATAGTACATCATTTTAGGCCATAAAATAATATGAATACTATATTATCTTGGATTTTCTCAAAACTAGAAACAATGAGTTACGATAGTTTTTGTTGCATGAGTCGAAATGAGCTATATATACATTAAAACAAACATCTCCAAATTTACCCGTAAGTCACACAACCATAATTATAGTACTTGTAGTGGCAATTTACTACACATACCCCCTCATGTTTCAACCTCGGTTTCAACCATGTTTGAAAAAAGTTCATACTACTGTGGAATAAGGTTATTCAATCATCTACCTACCTCTCTAAAACAAATTAATAGTCTGAGCTCATTTAAATGCTAATTAAAAAGTTATTTATCCCAAAAATGCCCCTATAGCATTTATGAATTTCTTCTGTAGTTTTTGTAGTACAAGGTAGATTACAATTAGAAGAACACAGCTATGTCATCATTCGGCAAAGTAATAAAGTGGTTATCGCCGCCTACTGGGGGTTTAATGAAGTGTTAACATTTTAGAAATATTATATGACATACCTAACAGTTTACTTATTAATTATTTATTGATAGTTATAGATAATATGTATTCGAAATTCGAGGTAATGGTTATGACATAGCAGTGTTCTTCTAATTGTAATCAGACCCTACAGCCTATGTCATATGGGTGTTTTCAAGCATATCAGTCCTAATTTTAATTTTGTGTATTTATTATTAAATTGTATATTTAAATGTGTTAGTTAGATTTTATATCTGTTTTGTAAATGTATACTGTTGTACATCTTTACATGTAAATGACTTATCCTTTATCATGTATATGATCTAAAAGGATTAATAAAGTATTATTATCTTACCTCAGAAATATATTATTTCTTTAATTTGTTTTAAACGGTTTTTCTTAGATTGCCTAACCTAAACACTATGTACAAGTATGGCCGTAACGAAAGTAGGGTAGTAATATAATGAGAGATTTGGGTGACCATATTAGCTGGGAATTCTAGTCTAGCTCTATTGTGTGAGAAAGTATGATCATATTGGTCACTTAGGTATACCTAAATAATCAAAGCTCAACTGAGTACAGGTCTGAGTTATAGAAGGGAAAATTTACCTTGCTACTCTAGTTAGTGGTGGTGATAAAGGATGAACATTCAGAATAGTACACATATAATAGACGTATATCATCATATTATGTGTGCTGATGCATAATTACTTGAGGAGTAAGCTCTTTAGTATGATGAGTAAGCAGTTTTGATATGATAAAGGGTTTAAAAATTGTGGGAAAATTAATAATTTGTTAGTGTAGTTTACATTTTCAGATTGTAAAATAAAAATAAATATAACCTTTTGAATAAAACCACAAAATACATATAGAGCCAATCATAAAAATTTACAAAAAAAACTCTTGCTGTATAATTGAATACAAAGTCACCTGTAAAACTATGAATTAGGTTGGGGCCTTTACCTGAGACTTAAGATATCCAAGCATTGATATTGTAGAATATAAACGAGTAACTATCATACTATCAATACCAATTAATACACATGCGAAAAACCTAGATCAGCTGTTGATATGTTGACAAAACCCATATTTTGAATATTTTGTGTTATGTATTAAATTACAAGATATCAGACATGTTAGGAGCTCGATGTTGATGTACTTTACTAATGTAGTAAACTAAGTAGCAATAAAACAAAAGGGTTATAATGTAGGATGCCTTATTTATCATCATAAATTCTATTTAAGAACTGAATTGCTATGTGAAAGGATGCTTTTTTAACAGGTATTCTTAAATTTAAATAAAATAGGTAATTGTAACTTACTCCTGCTCTTCAACACAGTCTAGACAGCTTTGTTGAGGATGTTTAATCCATGAATTTCCATATCTTTCTGTATCAACAATGTCAAATAGTGGATCTCCTGTAATGGAATGTTTCCCCGAAAATTCTTTAGGATACAGTAGAGGCTGGGGATCGGTACCTTTTATAATTTTTGTTTTGTCTGGACTCAATTTCCATAATTGAGATCTTTTAGAGTTTATATAAAATACTTTAAAACATAAAATGTACGAAAATATAATTAAAATTTTAAAGTCACGACACATAACTTTCACTTATTTAAGTTGATTTTAATAAAATCATTTTGGTAAACTTTATTATTCAAAAACACAGATTTTGGCTAAACAAAACAAGACAACCTATTTATTTTCTTCTTTCCCTACTTTTACTGTCACTCAGTGTCCCATTTCTTCGTTTTCCCATTTAATAACCAAACACTGTTGCCAGAGTGACCAAATCAATTTTTATTAGTTTTAGAACTTAGGATATCTATAATTTTTAGTTCTTGATTAATTTATTTCTAAAAAAAAAAAAGATTTGACAACCAGTACTATTTAAATGATCGGTTTCGGCGATGAATCCAGATGTGCTAATTTCGAAGTTTTATCCACTGATCTGTTTTCAGATCAGTGGTTTTATCACTATATTATTGGAATAACCTATATACTTTTTATAGTATTTCAACAAAAAATTATGGGTCGATTCTTAGACACTATGAGATCTGTAAGCCAAAACCTGTTAAAAATAGAGTTATTGCAAGTTCACTTAAGGTCAGTCACTATTAGTGCCGCTCTTATTTTGACATCTGAGCATGCGCATATCACTAACTTTAATAAATATTGTGCCTGTCCTTAATTAAGAGAGTTAATAAAGAGTTATTGCAAGTTCACTTAAGGTCAGTCACTATTGGTGCCGCTCTTATTTTTACATCTAAGCATGCGCAGATGTTTATGTTCTATAACTGACTATAGGTTTGTTCGGGTTTCCTTAAAACTCGATGCAAACCGTCCGAGAACTAGTGGAACAGTTCAATTATAAAGTATACGTCGCACACAACTATTAAACTGTCCACTGGTCAACTAGTCCTCTGATAGTTTTCAATGTATTTTAAAGAACCCGAACAGACCTTTTATTAAAGCTACATTTACATTCAATTACATACGGAATTAAGCGAATTGTAAATTGACACTTCAGAGGGTGACCATTTACATTTGAGAACTCTGGTATAAAATTTGTTGGTTATGTTGCTTTGTTATTGTAATAAGAAAGATTAGTTTTATAAAAATGAACCGTGAAAATTGCTCCAAACTGAGAATATTAGGTGCGCTGACTACAGTTGTAGGCGTTTTATATTTAAAAAATAATAAAAAAAAAAGAAAGCCTCGCAGGATATGGGTTCAAGATATTTATTTAAAAAGAAAAGAGCAAGGGTTTTATAACAATATAATTGTTGAAATGAAACTTGGTAACGCTCATTTGTTTTTTAATTTCACAAGAATGAGTAGTACATCTTTCGAATATTTGCTCTCCCTTTGTGGAAAATATTTGGTAAAAGTTTCACCACGAGCAGCAATAGAACCTGCCCTCAGGTTAATGGTAACGCTGAGATTTCTGGCGACCGGAGATTCATATCCTAGTTTAGGATATGCTTTTAGAATACATCCATCCACAGTTTGTAACATAATATGGGAAACTTGCAATGTCATATGGGAAGTTTTACATCCTATTTATTTAAAACCACTGACAGAGGATGAATGGGTTCAAAAAGCTGAAGAATTTTATCACATGTGGCAGTTACCAAATTGCTTAGGTGCCATAGATGGTAAACATGTGAGAATTCAAGCACCTATCAATTCTGGATCATTGTATTATAATTATAAAAAATACTTTAGCACAATCTTGCTAGCTCTCTGTGATGCCTCATATTTTTTTACATATGTGAACGTAGGTTCATATGGAGCTCAAAGTGATGGAGGTATTCTTCAACAAACAAATTTTGGTCAAAAGCTAAAAGATGGAAATTTAAACATACCATTAGGAAAGGAACTACCATTCACAAATGATAAAGTACCACTATTCTTTGTTGGAGATGAGGCCTTTCCTCTTCAGATAAATTTAATGAGGCCATTTAGTAGACCACGTGTTGGTTTAAATCACAAAGAGGAAATCATTTTCAATTATCGGTATGTACTTAAAATAATATTAAATACTTACACAATATATTGATACAAGTTCATTAAGAATTGTAATGACATTGGTATGTTATTGTATGTTTTTGTAATCCAATAAACAATGCTCATTTCTAATTAACTTATCTTTCAGGCTATCTCGTGCAAGGAGAACTATTGAAAATACATTTGGAATTATGGTAGCCCGCTTTCGAATATTTCACAGAGAAATCAATGGGTATCCTGAAACAGTAGATGCTATTGTGAAAGCAACTACTTGTTTACATAATTTTATTAAAAAACAAAAACAGGACGCCTTAATGTATTGTGCACCCCAATTTATAGATAGGGAAATAAATGGAACTCTCTCAGAAGGCGAATGGCGTAATCAAGTTCCAACAAATAATGCTTTTTCAAATGTCGTGCTAAGGTTTGGAAATAGAAATGCCAAAAAGGAGGCCTGGGATTACAGAAATTTTTTAAAAGATTATTTTAGCCAGTTTGGTACAATTGATTGTCCATGGCAAAATAATCTGAGTGCATAGTAGACAATAAAGGTGCTTTGATATTTACTTATATTTTATTTAAAAAAAACTATTAATACAATTAAAAAAATTATGGCCTTGCATTTTGCCTCAATTTTCTTTTAATTTGAAGAAGTCGTATGATTGTTTCATCAATGAATTCTTCTCGTGATTCTTCTGGAAACTCTCTTAGTTCAGATATCATATAGGATGAAAAATCGTCAAGTTTATCTCTGGTATTTGGGGATGCAGAGGTAACCTGTTCCACTGAATTGGAAATTTTTCCTAATAGCCCCAAAACATCTAGATCATTTTCCGTTTGATTGTCTGTTTTTTTTCTCTTGTTGCTCCTTTTAGGAACACTAATAGGAGTAAAGGGCATTTCCCTTGGTATTTCTAAATTACGATTAAGGTTAACTACAGGTGGAGTAGCAGATGCCTCTTGATGGTCATTAATTAAATTAAATTGATTAATTTGACTATCAAATTCTAGATTCGTCATACTAGATTCATCTAATGAAGGTTCAGAAACTACTTCTGCCTCCATAACTGACGAAGGTGAATATATATTATTTCTCTCTAAAATAACACTGCTACTAGTTCTGAAAACAAAGTTATGAATATATTAATACAATATATAATATTTTTTAAACTCAAACTTACTCTCTAGGTGTCTTATGATCAAAATTCAATAAATGACATTAACGGCCACGGTGTCGTAAATGATGAACCAGCACCACTTCTTTGTAGCATCTGAAGTTTCTGCTTTTCTCGATTAAATTTTTCCCTAAGGGATTTCCATTTTTTTTACAATCCTCAGCTAAAATTAAACAGGTATATAAATAGCAAGCAAATTATATAAAGGAAAAAGTATTTTATGTACATTTTTTTTATAATTTTATACAATCATTTACCTGTGCATTGCATGGATTTTGATATGTAATCCCATGCCTTATCAGTCATAATTCTATTCATATGACCTTTCTGCTGCGAATTATATATGGCCGGGAAATCGCAAATTAATTTTAAAAATAATTCCTCGTCCATTTTTCCTTTTAACAAATTATTTTAACAGATGCACAAAACACGAGTAAAAACCACGATAAAAGACAATCGGGGTAAAAACACAGAATGGTAGCAGCAGTAGCATAAAATACAACAACATAACCTTCAAATTACCAACTTTCCCGCTTGGCGCTTGCACTTGCCAAGCACCTTACACCAATTTCAATTCGGAGTTAAATTAAGCACAGACTAAATTGTCAATGTAAATGGTTGTGTGGCGCCACCATTTCTCAAGCAGACAAATTTCAAACTTAAGCCGGAGCGTAATTGAATGTAAATCTAGCTTAAGGATTGTGCCTGTCCTTAATTGTAGATGATTAAGGGCAGCAGGTACTGGCCACTTTATAGCTTTCAGATGCGCTTGCCGACATTCGTATTCGTTAGAAGTGTTTTAATATTAAATATTTAATATAATCGTCATTTAAACCTTCTAAAATTATAATTTCTAATGCCTCTTTAATATTATGTACTATTATAGAAAACAAAAAAGATGAACTATAATTTAAAGTTATTAAAATAAGGTTAGAGTATAAAGTTAGAGTATAAGGACGAGGATTCTAATGTCAAAATTTCAAGTTTGCAATAAGACTGATTTTAGAATGGAATTTATTTGACTCTAATTACGATGTGACTATTAGTGGCTGGCTTTATAGAAATTTGCAATATCTCTCTTTAAGGACAGGCACAATCTTTATTAAAGTTAGTAATCTGCGCATGCTCCGTTGTCAAAATAAAGGCGGCACTAATATAGTGACTGATCTTAAGTGAACTTGCAATAACTCTCTAATTACTTTACTATACCTTACAGATTCTGTAGCTTATAGAATAAGTATTTCCCAAAATCCTACCATTAATTGCGGATAATTATGTTTTATTTGCTATTTTCATGTATATTATAAAGCACTATAGCTCCTGTAGTTTCCTTGTTATGGTTAATATTTAGGTTTTTTTGATTGTAATAATTAATTGCTACATAAACCGGGTCCTCCTATAAAGCTTTAATGTTTAAGATGTAGAGGAGCAGGGACAGATGTTTGATACGATTTTGGTAGGTAGAAAGGTGATAAACGTCGAACCCCTTCGCAGTAATGTTTGTTTGCCGGTGTCGTATTATATTCAAAGGTTAGTTCCGTTGAAAATCTGTCAAATCTTGTGTACAAAGTGGGAAAAGCGAAAAGCCTGTCCAACTTCTGTACCTGCTCTAGTGGAGAATAAATTATTTTTACTTTTATTTAGCGAAATTATAGAAAATCGTCTATTAGTTTTTTTGCCGATAAACAGTCGCAGATACAAACAAAAAACTATAAGAAACCAACAAATTTCTAAACAAAGCAGCAAATTCATTTTGTATTTTAAAATGTACCAGCGGTGCACCACAAAAAAGTCCAGGGGAAGAAAAGAGGGAACGCAAGGCCCCTAAAAAATATTATCCTGTAGATTTCTACAACCATTTAGAATTCCCAATGATATAAGCCCTACAGCGCAACCTAGATTCCAAATTTGAACAATGTGCCCGTGTGTGCCTAACATATTTTGTAGCTGGCTAAATGGATACAACCTTGCCCAAGAACAAAAAAAAACTAAATATAATAAAAACTACAGGCGCTACCGAGA